CATGGAAAAGATCATTGTCCAATTAATTCACGGGCTCAATAAAGAATGCTCACACAACATTAATTTTCTTTTGATTTTTTGTTTTTGCTAATAAATAATAATTTCCAAATTTGTTCCCTGGTTAAATTACCCATCCTCAAATTAAAATTAAAAAAAAAAATTATTAAACCCATTTAATATTATCTACTTGGATTTTAATGGATTTCTACCTATGAACGGACTGTCCTACAAATTTAATAAAATTAGGTAGAGGTTTAATTCCTTTACGTTAACCATACCCGAATTCCCCTGAAATTTCTCCTCACTTTGTAAACTATATATGTTCTTTAATATTTTTTTCTTAAATTGTTTCATTATATTTTATAAATGTAATTATTAATTTATTTCATTCTAAAAATATTAAATTCTCTATATATATTCGCCTATATTTTTCTTTATATATATATATATATATATATATATATGTAAATATTCTAGTGTACAATGTGCCCTCGGGAAAAAAATTCTGACTCCATCATTGCTCGTGTGAGAGTTGCTTTATAATTTCTTTATATATATATATATAGCTTTTTGATAATATACATTTACAAGAAATTAACACAACTATTTTTATTTTTAAGGGGAGTTCCAACCACTTACACCCAAAAAACCTTCAAACCTCAATTAAAAGGAAGAGCAAGTATCACTGACTACAATCTTTGATGAATTTTGAATAATAATAGTATAAGACTTATGCTTAGATCAGATTGATTTATAATTCACAAATTTCAGGAGTACTTAAAATTTATATAAATTTCAAACTATTAGCACTTGTTGCTAATTAATTTCCTTAACTCTTGGTCCTTTGACTAGGGGTGGCAATTCGTGTTCATGGATCGTGTTCGTGTTATGTATTATACTAATTAGGTAAACACAAACTCAACCCAATTAATAATCATATCAAGAAATCTTAATACTAACCCAACCCATTTATTAAACAGGTAAACGTGTTAACCCGTTTAATGACTTGTTTATCAAAACGAGACATTTAATCAAATACTAAATAATATTTAAAAAATTGTCATAATTAACCTAAATATTCAAAATAAAAAGAAAAATCGCAAAGCATAGATAAAGTTTATGGTGAAATGACTTAATTATCCATAGTAATTGGGTTTAAACAGGTAACATATTACATAGATCATATTCACGATTATAACATATTGAGTTAAATGAGTTATAAACAGGTTACATGGGTTAAACTCATCAACAAAAATTCGACACGGCTAAGTAAACGGGTTAATCATGTCAACTCTTTTATAATTCAAACCCGTTTATACCAAACCCAAATATTTTTAACTCCTATCGTGTTATCGTGTCATATCGTAATTTGTCGCACCTAGTCTTTTCTAATTATGGGCTAATATTCCCTGAACCAGTGGCTTGCTTAGACTTCTTAAAAGTAACTCCTATTATTTTGTCTCAAATATTTAATTCTGTCGTTTGCCAAAAAAATAATAATAATAATAAAGTAAATAAATAATTATGCCTACATGTATCTTATTATAAGAGATACGAAGCCAATATAAAATCAATTATATTGAAACCAAAAAAAAAAATAATAATAAGAAATCTGTCTAATATAACCTGTTAAAAAAGTTTTCTAAAATAAACAGGAATGTTTCCACCTATGTAACAATCTCTCGATCACATGAAATCATATGTCCTTAACAATTGAATAAAGAGTAGTCATAATCTCATTTATGAATTGTGATCTATTCGAAATGGTACACCTGGAGTTAACTATAGGGAGAAATTCCATACATTTACTTTCTTCTTATATATACATTATCACATTTTTTTTTTCTTCAAATGATTATGATTTATGATGTAGTAGTGCAATATGCATTAAGTATTTTATTTTATTATTATTAATTTTTTGTGTGTATATTTTTTACAAGTCACACTCTGCTGGGCTGGCTAGGGATTTGGCCTCCAAAACAATGAATGGGTTCGCGACTAATGAATGGATTATATGTTTGGTATATATTAGGTTTTTCTGCTCACTCATTCTATATATATATATATATATATATATATATATATATATATATTATATATACATTTTATGATCATAACTCCTGAAATCATTAAGTGTGTGTTTGATTACATACTTGCATGAAATTGGAATCTTGAAATTTAAATTGGTGGAATTTGAAAAAAATAATTAAGAAAATTGAATCAAAATTTTCTCAAATTTCACAAATTTTAATTCTAAGGCTGGAAGCCGACCATAGTTCTCTATGTTTTTCAACAAGGAGAGAGAGACCGGAAGGAAATGAAATGAATGTGAAGTTAATGAGGATTGAATGTTGGTTTTGGTTTTAGTTTTGTATTAATGGTCATTTGAAACTTACAATAACAACACTATGGAGCCAGATGAATTGAGATGTAAGGTCCTAAGTCACATAATTAGTTCAAAAAGGTCCTGCTCTCAATCTTTGCAAGCCAATATGCGATTTGGGAACGAATTCGCACAAAATTCACGAACTTAAATTTTGTAATTCGCGAATCTGTTTTTCTAATTCGCGATTTCCATATATATTATCATATATACATTTATTACTTACATTATTACTAAATATATACATTTATTACTTAAATGTCACTGTGCGAATTTGCTATACTACCATATATATATATAAATTATACATGTTTGAAAATATACTACTAAAAAATATATTACAAATAAATCACCCATTAGCTTATTTATTACATATATTATTAATTGAATAAATAATCATAAATATATTTGCATATGGATTTAAATAAATAAAAATATATAAATATATATGTCATGACCTGATGTAATTTTATTTAAACTTAAAATATAGACGCTCTCAAGACGCTTCCGCTCTAAAAAATTTAAACTTCGACGCTCTCGCGCTCCTGCTCTGTGTGACTTGGGTAAGATCTCTAATTCATCCAATAAAACATTTTACAATTTTCATCCATCAACCTAGCTTCTCTTCCATTCATTTATTGAATTAGCTAATTTCAAGTAGTTGGAATGAAAGCTAAATTGATTGTTATTAGCTTAATTTACATTTTTTCTTTTTTATTTAGAGCATTGTTATTTGTTGAGCGCGATAAGTGACTGTCACAAAACTCATGGTGAACCTTAAAGGGACTGTGAGTATTGCGGCAGTCGCCTGTTGCAATAGATATAATTATCCTTTTATTTATGATTAATATTTATTCATTCTATACATTTTATCTAAAGGTTTGCTCCCTCCCTGCCCAAATTCCCCATTATTGTTATTTCTTATGAGGTTGCTTTTAACAATGCGAGAAAGCACTTGATATTTCCATTGGAAAATAAATACAGTAGAAATTGGTAGGCATTGGTCCGGGTTGACCCGACCTTGTCGGAAGGGGCCAATTCGAGATCAATGCATGTAAGTCTGAATGTCTGATGTCTGCTTTTTTGACAGAAAAAAATCTTCAGCTGCAGTAATGCTGAGCTATGTGCATAATTTTTTGGTTGTCCATATATTTCAACATACACACGTGCATGTTTTAACTCTCATTTAACACTTCAAGTTTCATTACTCCTTTTTTATGCCAAAGAGATTATGCTATTATTTCCATATTTGAAAACCATGATTTTAGATTTATTAGACTACAATCAATAGTATGGAAGGATGTCGATGTTATATCAATTGTTTTAATAAGGAAGTTAAATGATTTTCTTGGCAATATTAGCATGTAATGCAACTGTGTCTCCTTTGAAACTTTTTCATTAATGGAGCTGTGTTATTTCAGGAGGACCTGGCACTGCTCCGAGATGAAAAAGATCCTGAAGACAGAATGATACAAATGGAAATTTTTGATGAAGATTTTAGTAGGGTTTTGGACCGCAGTGATCTGCTTGCTGCTATGCTAAACGAAAAGGGAGAACCAAATGCCGGTGTTAGTTTGTTTCCCCCTTAAAGGGCCGACTCAGAATCCTCATTGTAATTCGAGCCCGTGGTCAACCCTACAATGCCGTAGTTCAGATCAACCATCTCCAAGAACTGGCTGATCACAAGAGGCACAGATTAGATTCTCTTCACCTCTTTAAATGAATGACATTTGCTAGTCTTTATTGACTATATATGATATAAGGGGTTTTGGAGGGGAACGAGAGGAAGTGAAAATGAAGGATAGATGATATCAAGTTTTCCCTTTTGGATAGATGATACCAAGTTTTCCTTTTTTAGACTCGTTAGTTGGAGGTACAACAACTCCACTCCATATAGAGGCAAAGTAAAAGGAAATGATAGGTTTTGTTTAGCTCAGTCACAAAAAAAAAATGGAACCAATCTATTGTTTAGATCACTCACAAACAAAAATAGTAGCATATGTTTGTTTAAAGTTGAAGAAGGTACAGTGGTTTAGTTCTAAGTCACAAAGTAAAAAGTCTACTATTACAAGTTTAACTCTCTATCATCCCATCATTAAGTACATCAGCAACAACAGGCCTCACATAAATCATTAAGTACATCAGCAACAACAGGCCTCACATAAAATTTAATTGAAATTATTCCCATAATACCCATGGTAAGTTTAACTCTCTATATATAGTTTTTCTTTATTCAACCTCATAATATATTCACATTAACAAGAATTTTAGGAGATTATACATGTCAACACTACCTTTCTCATTTTAGAAATTCAAACTCAAATCAATGAAAAATCATCTAAAGACCATATATATATATATATAACCTTTAACGTAGTGATCATCCCAAGCCAGTGACCCAGATTAAATCCTTCACAAGTTTCTTACTCTCTCCAAGAATATTCCAAAAACTATACTACATAATATATATATATATATATATATAAAGAATCATTAAAAATATCTCCAAAAAAGTAATCTAAAAATTCTATATAAATTTAGCATAGCCCATCCAAGTCTAGAATCTCACCGAATATAAGAACACCTCTCACCATACAGACTGACACAATTAAGATCTGATATTTTATTTCATTTTTCTTTGGCAAAGAACTAGCACAACGGGGAAGTTAAACTCCTGAACTCACACTTTTAGAAGTGGAAGAAATATCATTGCACTACAATTTTCGATTCTCTTTGTCTCTCTTTAATAAAGGGTATATGCCCATATATTATTCTGTAAAAGAAGTTAGTAATGTGAAGGTATTTGAAATTATCAGCTTCCTTCCGAGAGAATTGAAAGTGAAGTCTGTTTGCAATTCTAGCATCCAAAAACATGTCAGATCCAAAACAACGCAGATCAACGGCGCACACTACTCCCAAAAATCCTGCCTGAAACCTAACTAAATCCCACATAAACTAAACCAGTCTCTCAGCTGTTGAGATTGGAGAGCATGCCTCCACGCAATTGGCATCACCACCTCCCAACTAGGCCCTTTAAGGGGAAACAAACTAACAGCGGCATCTGGTTCTCCCTCTTCATTTGGCGTAACACCAAGCAGATCACTGCGGTCCAAAACCCTTTCCAAATCTTCATCAGAGATTTCCGTTTGTATCATCCCGTCTTCAGGATCTTCTTCATCTCAGAGCAGTGCCAGAAGGTCCTCCGGTAATAACACAGCTTCATTAATGAAAAAGTTTCGAGGGAGATAGAATCTAATATTGTCAAGAAAATCATTTAACTTTGTTATTAAAACAATTGATCACTCAAAAAACCACATGTGGAGCATCGCAAAGAAACAGAAAGCTCAAGTGATATAACATGGACATCCTTGCATACTATTGATTGTAGTCTAATAAAACTAAAATCATGGTTTACAAATATGGAAATAATAGCAAAATCTCTTTGGCATAAAAAAGGAGTAACGAAACATAAAGTATTAAATGAGAGTTAAAACATGCATGTGTATATATGTGTGTGTGTGTTGAAATATACGGACAACCAAAATAATATGCACATAGCTCAGCGTTACTGCAGCTGAAGACTTTTTTCCGTCAAAAAGGCATGACATCAGACATTCAGACTAGCATGCATTGATCTGGAATTAGCCCCCTTACAACAAGGTCGAGTCAACCTGGACCAATGCCTACCAATTTCGTGTTGACCCCACAAAATTGTAAGAACCCTGAGCCAAGCCACAACCCTAGCCAGTCTACATATTAAGCTTTAGAAATCATAAACAGTCCAAGAGAAATTTAAAAACACCGAGAGAAGATTTAATAATATAGCAGAAAAAAAAAAAAAAAAAAAAAAAAAATTAATTTTGAATGACTTGGAAATTTTCGAAATAACTTGGGAGTAGCCAGTAGGACAACTGAATCGTGTCAACAAGTGTTCATTTGTCTGTTGTAGAGAATAGAAAATATACATTATATACCATAGTGTTTCAAATGCAGAAACAAGTTATACCATGCTCATTAAGAAAAAGCATAAATCAATCTGGCTCTCTAATAAACACATTGTCCAACAGAGAACACAGCATGTCATTCGAGGACTATTGAGCCAACAGAACAGTACACATCACATGGTTGAAGATATCAAAATAGATATCACAAACCTCCGTAAGATCTGTACTGTTAGATGTGGTTCTTTCTTGCTGAAACTGCCCTTTCCCAATCACGACATGCTCAAGCCTTAACTAACTGCAAGCTCTTTTCAGAATTCGACCCTGATAGCGTTATACAGCTTCTTCCCATTACAAGTAGAATAGCAAATTGCATTACATAAAACAAAAGAACAAAGCCAATCATAAAGGACCTCTACAGATTTGAGTTGTTGCCAGCCTGTAAACATGAACGGGCTTTGTTTGACCTATTCTGTGACATCAATCCATAGCATGTAAATCCATTTGGGGATTCTGGGATGCAACTGAATATATGATAAACCAAAAATGTCAAGTGCATCAAATGAAAAGCCCAAAAAGACCAAAACAAGCTCAAGAAATAGAGAAAACCATGGTTTGAGGAAAGTACCCGATCACTATAGTATAAAATGCAGGTATCAGCTGCAGTATGATTGATACCCAGCCCACCAGCCCTAGTGCTGACGAGATTCCGTAATTACTGTTCTAGTCATTGAACTCCTTGATCTGTTTGACCAAAAATAACAGGTTATCACTAAAATAGAAGATGGTTCACTGAAATGAGGGCAGTTTTGCGACCAAAGCAAGCACTATAGACAAATGTATGGAGAGAAATTTATTCTAAAGAAAAGGACAAGAGGTAGCAACAATGAGACTAAACATATTCATGGCATGGGTGCAGGCTTGTAAGTTTATATTGGACACGTCAAAATTACATCGTGTGGGACTATGAGAAGAAAAAAGAACACGGGCGCACGCACTCAGACATAAGCGCTCACACAAACACATATAACATCCTGTATTCAGAGTGTATCATAACCTATCTGGATAAACAAGTAATAAAATTGCAAAGATGATAATCAGTGTACTGATTGCAGAAAAAATAAGTTAAACAGCGTCACCTCAATGATCAGCCCAGTGGGGCTTACCAAACTGAAGAGTATACATTCTGGCAAATTTTGTAAACTGTGCAGGAAAAAAAAAAAACACTTGCACTTAGAAAACAAGAAGTTTCTGTAAACCAAAACTACAAAATTTTTAAATTAATTTATAAAAATGACATGGAAGTTGGAGCAATATCAATGTTAAGAGGTAGTCCTTACCTGTCTTTTTCTTTCAGACAATTTCACACTACCACCAATTCTACAAACCTCAAATCCCTTTTCACTGAAGTCGTAATCAAGTATATCTAAACTTCGTCTACACCAGAAGATTAGAACCTGATTGAGAATACAACAAAAGATTAATAGAATGATAAAGCAAATTAGAATAATAAATAAATAAATAACCAAGAAACTCTACAGCGTACTTTGTGCTTCCAAGGAAATAACTTTGCCAGCCATCTGTCCAGCAAGTGAAATTTGCCGCACTTCAACTTCTGCTCTACAGATGGGTAGAGGCTGTTAAGAAATCAAGCAAGAAAAAAATTGCATAAAATTATAGAGAACTCATTATATTTTAAATCTAATTGATATTGCAAAAAGCATACAAGAGCCATCAAAGGCTGACTCTAAGAGATCAGGATGGTTTCAGTTCTTCCGAAATTGAAGATTATTAAGCTTGCCTTTCATACCACGTCCTGCGTATATATTCAAAGTGAGCACGGAAAAATTGAAAAATATAATGAAAAGAAAATGTCGCTATTATCAGCAAAAATTACAAAATATAATGGCTTGTTAATGCTTACAGGCAAAAGTGCACCAGTAGAATAAATGAACTCTAAAACCAACAGCCATAAACGCGGGAACCAAAAACATACCTCTCCGAGCCAATGTGAATTGTACCAACAAGTTGAAGACCAACATCAGGATGTCTCAATTTGCAACACCGAAACGGAGGCAACGCATCAACAGCTAAGTTCATTTTAGTAGTTCCCTGCTCCAGTAAATAAATTCACAAAAACTATGATAAATCCAAGTAAACTCCAATTCAGGAACTAATCTAAGAACAAAGAATAATCGGAAAGAAGTCCACCAAACATTCCCAACTTTTGTCTGGGTTTCAGTAGGCAATGATTACCAGATAAGTACAACTCACAGTGGGCATGAAATAAAACTACCGTTCATGAAATAATACCCTTCTGAAAAACTACTGTTGATCACCTTATTACCAGCAACAATGTCCCACTGGTGGCTAAGTATAACATTTTAGCTGAAACCTGAACGAAAGCTTACAATGCTCCCTCTGAAGAAATTATTATCAGCTCAACCCCCAAAATTGTATGCTAGTTCAGTCCCTCCATTTACATTGTGATTTCTAATCTTTTAGGACAATCCAAAAACTACTGTTGATTACCTTATCACCAGCAACAATGTCCCACTAGTGGCTGGGTATAACATTTTAGCTGAAACCTGAACGAACACTACAACAAATACAGGCTTTAGCGGCAGTCAAAACTGCTGCTATAGCCTATTGCAGCAGCATAGCGGTGGTCAGTATAGTAGCCACCTAAGGCCTTGACGCAATAGGTATTTGGGTTATAGACCCCCGCTAAATCTCACCGTTACACGTCTAAATTGTAGCTTCCAATTTCTTATAAAATATTTTATGGGAAAATTACATATAAATGGAGTCAAAGTTTCATATTTACTTAGAGACTGAGTCAAAGTTCCATATTTCTCTAAAATGGATTGCTGAGGTGGCACATGATTTTTTACTGTTTAAAAAATTGTGGTGCCTAAAATGCCCTTCTCTAATAAAAAAGTAGTACCTTCAGTTCAAAAAAGTAGTACCTTCAGTTCAAAAAAGTAGTACCTTCGGAGAAAAAGTAGTACCTTCGCGAGTGTTTAAAAAACATGGTACCTGGACGCCAAAAAGTAGTACCTTCAGTTCAAAAAAGTAGTACCTTCGAAGAAAAAGTAGTACCTTCGCGGAAGGGTATTTTAGGCATCACAATTTCTAAACAGTAAAAAATCATGTGCCATCTCAGCAATCCATTTTAGAGAAATATGGAACTTTGACTCAGCCTCTAAGTAAATATGGAACTTTAACTCCATTTATATGTAATTTTCCCATATTTTATCAGCTTCATTGTTATAAAAACTTTTTTTTTTTTTTGGCAGATTAAAAAAAGCTAGAGTTAATGACCTACTTCTACAACAGTTAGCTTCCAATTTCTTAGAAAATAACTTATCAGCTTCATTGTTATAACAACGGTTTTTTTTTTTTTGGCAGATTAAAGAAAGCTAAAGCTAGTGACCTACTTTTGCAAGAGTTCTCAACTAATACAAAAACATATTCATAACAGGTGTGATACCCCCTAATTTTGGAACACGGATTGATCAAGTCCGCGCACAAAATCAAGGGATATCAAAACAATTTAAGTATTTAACAAGCACAGAATACAAAGATGAATAATAAAGAATAAATAAATCGCTGAAGAAAACTAATAAATAAATATTACTTAATGATTCTCCAACAATTACAATTCGGAAATCCCATAACTCAAGGACCCCTTAAAACATTAACCAATAATCCAATACTATTTAAAAGTACACAAGATGAATAGACGAATGACAGTCTCCCAGCTGCGGATCCTCAACCTCGAGACTGGAACCTCTAATAACCTGAAAAATAAATCATGGGTTAAACCCTACGAGCAAGTTCACTCTACCAGGCCTCTGAAAACCAATAAGCAGATCATCTCTGATCAAAACCAAACCTAATAAAGTTTTAACTTTAATAAAGCACGATATACATGTCTATATATAATTATATATACTATACTAATCACATCCATTAATAGGTTTATTAAATTTCCATACCTATTAAATAATTATTAGAATAATATTCATACCTAGACCAATCTACCATTTCATTTTATAAAAACTCCTTTGACCTTAATCCCATCCTAGTCAGTTGTTTAATCATTTAAACAACAAATTATAATAAAAGAAATACTCTATTTAATCCCAACCCGATAATGATTTTAATTGTTTAAATCACATATCCAAAATCCAAATTTTGACAAATCATCCACGTCTTCCCCAATATTATTTTATTAATGTAAAATAATACACTAACCAATAAGTACTAAACTATTCTCATTTAAGAATATCTAACCCTAATCCAATCCATACATACAACAACCATAGATGATATTTTAATCATCTAACACATAACAACGTAATTATGCTTTGGCAAATCAACCATGCCATTGTAAATATTTTTATTTATACATGCCAATGTATATTTATTTATACATTGGCAATTCAACCATGCCTCCGTGTATGTATATTTATACATTGGCAATTCAACCATGCCTCCATAAGTATATTTATTTATACATTGGCAATTCAACCATGCCTCCGTGTATGTATATTTATACATTGGCAATTCAACCATGCCTCCACAGGTATATTTATTCATACATTTAATTAGCAATTCATCCATACTTTCCATATATGTATTCTATTCATACAAATATTTAGGTAATATATTTAATCATTTGACAATTCATCCATACCCACACTTTAACCATGAATTAACTTTAAAATTAACAATACGCTAAATCATACATAGCCATCACATGCATATTATACGCATATCATTAATTTAACAACCAGCCTATTAAGATATGCCAAATAAGAATGATAATATTAATCATCTTAAATGATTTATATATATATATACCTACACATATGTTATTTAATGTATATATGTGTTTAACACCTTCTTTAATAATCCTTGATTATTTAAAATCAATATACATACATACATACATATATATATATATATATATATATATATATATATATTCATCCTTCCATACAACTCATAAACAAATTAAACTATATATACACATATATAAATAATTTTATATATATATATATACACTTCCTTCCATAACAAATTATTAATTTATTATATTTACACAAATTAATGCAACTAAATATGTCAGAAATAGTTTCCTTTAAATACTCCATATTGGTTTAAATAGTTTTCCGACACTTTCTCACTAAAACATAAATATCTCCTAGTAGGATGGGAATCTGATAATGAAATTGGTACCATTGGAAAGAAGACGAAAAATCCTTGAATTTGAGCTCAAGAATGACCCAATTTCGATTTAAAATGACTAAGTTATGACCGTTTTAATTTCTAGTGTCGAATTAGGCCAACATAGTTTCCCACGCGCGCCCACGTGCTTACTATGCACTTGCACGCGCTGGATTCAAGCCTCCTTGTGTGCTGGTATTGGCTAAGCTCTTTCAGCTACCGTGAGCTCACCACACTGAATCCATCACTTCCTTTATGCCGCATCCAATGGTCATAAATGAGTGCGCAAATGAACACGCTCACACTAGATTATTTTCTATTAACTATAATAGATCTAAGGTCCAGATCAGCGAGTGCACCATCTTCTCATGGTCTGCAATACACCAAATAATCCCATAGTTGACCAGACCACTTCTATGGTCCAGATACACCTACGCACCAAAGTTTTATGCGCCGCGATGCACCATATCAATTCACATAAGTTTAATTAATCAAATGGCCCTAATTGGCGTATACACCCTATTATCCTACACCGCACCGCACTGGATCAATTCTTTATTGTGCCGCCGCTCCACATGCGCCAGTTATCTAGTATATATATATATATATATATATATATATATATATATATATATGAAAAAATTCCAGAAAATTACAGAACAATTCTAGAAAATAAAGAAACCATAATTAACTCTCTTGGGTCACAAATCCACCTATAGATTGATTTTAAAATATACATAACACCTATATATATCAATTAAAATCCAATAATCTAAAAATCAAATATAATAGTTTATACTTTTTAATTATTCCGATCTAACCATAATTTTTAAACAAATAAATTTAATTAAAGCCTTGATACTCAAGGTGAAATCCTTATGAGTTCTAAGAGGAAAGTTAGAGAAAACTCGCCTGAAAGTTTCGAAACGAAACCGACGCTTTAAGCTTTAATTATCTCTTCCAATTCCGACGTCCTCCTTTTCAGATCCGACCTCCTCCTTGTCAGCCCTTCTTCTTCCTCTCTCTCTGTCTGTTTTATTTTTCTAACGTGTAAAACCTCTAACCCTAAAGCCTTATGTGTATTTTTATACACCTTAAATTCCAAATCCTATTCCAACTAGTATTATGAATTAAAATAATAATCTTTAAATAATTTATATCTATAAACATATATATATATATATAAATATATATTCCTTCCATAATTAACTCATTAGTTAATTAAATCATATATACTTATAAATATCAATAAATATATATCTATATATATATCTTTCCATAACATTTATTAATTAATTATATTTATATATAATTATATATATATATATATATATATATATAATTGATACAAAAGTGATCATTTAAATAATTAAATAACCACGGACCTTCATTAATTAACCCAATAAGGTTTCATACAAGCCCAAGACCACATCTTTTGGTCCAACTTTCCTTAAGCCCAATCCAATTAATTTAAATAAATAAGATAATTAATTAAATACAGAAATTAAAATAACTAATTACATGAAGCACATAAACAAACAAGAATTTACAACTAAGTCATATAATACCAATAAAATCAACACACCAATAATTCAATCAATAATCAACCACACAAACAATCAATCATCATACATAATCACGAAATATAACTTAATTAAAATAAGATAATTAATCTAGCACTCAATAAAATAAAATAAATCATTGAAAAATAAAATAAAATAATTAATCCTAATTAATAAATCTTTTAAAATTATCGGGGTATTACAACAGGTCTCTACAAAATCTATCGATATAGATTTAAACCCAAAAAATTGAATACAACCAATTCGTGAAAAAATCCATCTTTAAGCAGAAAGATATCTGTAAACCTGTTCTTCCACATTATTCCATGTAATTTACCAAAACATGTTAGAAAATTTCAAGGCAGAAAATTTATTTAAACCTACCTTCCTCAATGACAGAATGCTTTTAGCTTCTGTATTTCATCAATCGACATCTCAATTCCTTCACATCCGATTGTTTGATGGGCTTTAACAAGAACATTGGAGCTCCTTCTAAGCACCCCCATCCATGCAAGTACTAATTTATGGTCAACTTTATGTTGTTGAATCTAAATTCTAAATTTGTATTATACTGGGCTGACTACAGTAAACTGAAATCAATTAAGATGCTTAGGATCCTCCAAAAAATGGTGAGCCACCAAGAATGAGTCAACATTTATACTCTGGACTGACTCTCTTCCTTTAGCCCCAATAGCTACTGTTAATAACAACAAGCTCACAGACATAATTTGGACAAGAAAAATACCAAAACCCGTTATAATCAACCTCATCAAGTTCACAATCACAGATAAAAAAGCAATTGTTATGAGATCTTCCCTTGTATCACAATGATTATATGACCTAGAATTCAAAATTCAAAAGTGTACGTATGAGAAATCAACCCTTGCATATCTAATCTGCTTTGAGAATGTATCTAACTGATGTGATGCTCAAGTTATATAGTTTCTAGACTAGAATCACTAAACTCCAAAAGAAAGGGATCACAATCGAACATCACTGGAATGCAAGAAAGGAGAGAAACAAAGGGATCTTAAGAATTTAAGGAACTATAAATTATACTTTTAGGCAAAAAAAACTATGAATTGCAAGAAAATATAGGAAAGACACCCTTCTTCCAGTATATACATTTATTCAACATAATAATTCAAGCCATTTTAGCCTGTTCCAAAACCATGCAACTTCTCGCGATAATTACTAAATTGATGCAAGACTCACCATGCAACTTAGAAAAATCATAGGGGTCAATATTCTGTTGACCTTCGCCAAGAACATACCATCCCACTTCAAGACTCGCTTCAGAATTCTGATTAAAGTTGTTTTCTGCAATAAATTCAGAAACAACATCCCATTTTACTTGGTCTTTCTTATCATTATGCATACACTACAACCACAAAATATTTCAGTATATACACGTATAAATGCGCACGCACACGCACACATAGCCAATAACAGATTTAATGGCATATATAACAATAAACCACATATTAAATAACGTGTTTACATGGGAATTCAGGAAATAGCCAAGCATAACAGAGTCTGAAAGTAGGTACCCGAATATGATTTTTAAGCAAAACATCAAGCTTCAAATTATGGAATACCATAAACTATCATCCTAATGGAATTGAAGATACAAAGTAAATATAAAATAGAAATTAATAAAGCAATGTTTGATAAGAATCATGGAATACCATAAACTATCATCCAACTATCATCCATAGATGTTCTTAAGTTGGGATTCTGATAGTGTCTTCTGAAAAATCAAAATAGATATCAATTGTACTTCTCTTGTCACTCAATCTGGCATGCCAGTGGAGCCTTCACAAGGTTCACAGGTCCTCAATAAACAAGTATTACTACACAAGAAGAGGGGCCAAAAAAAGGCTGCTCAAGACTCACATCTAGGGAAAGGAAGAAACAGAGGAAAGAGGCAAGGAAATCAGCTAACTCCTCCCTCCCTCATTTCTTTGCTACATTTATCTATGGAGACAATATCCCTGAAGAAAGGCAGATTCTTTGGAATGATATCAATGAGATTGCTTCTACTGTTGAATCAGAACCACGGATTCTCCTGGGGGATTTAACGCAGTTAGATGGCCTGGAGAAAGATTTGGGGGGACTGAGCAATGGACCCCTACAATGGAGCAATTGAATGATTGTCTTATGGACTCTAATTTGGATGACTTAAGGTTCTCTGGCCTTTTCCACACATGGTCTAACAGGTCCTTCAGTTCTGAGAATATTTCTAAGAAGCTTGATAGGGTTGTTGTTAACCCCACTTGGCTTTCCATATTTCCTGATTCTGCTTGCCAGCTTCTCCCTCCCCTTTTCTCTGACCATTGCCGAATGGTTGTTAATTCTGGTCTTAAGCACCCTAAGAGGAAATGTCCCTTCAAGATCTTCAATTTTTGGTGTGAGCATCCTGAGTTTCTGGACACTGTTTCAAGAATTTGGAACACTCATATTGATGGCATTCCAATGTTCAGAGTTGTTTCCCAACCTAGAAGCTGAAAAATGCCTTGAAGCCCCTAAAGCAGAAAAATTTCAGCAACATTTCTGATAGGGTCAAACAAGCAAAGTCTAATCTCCAGAATTGTCAAACTCAACTTGATACAGATCCTAGCAGCTCTACCCTTAGACAACAGGAGAAGATTCTTTCCATCACTTATTCTATCCTGAGTAAAATTGAAGAGCAGTTGTACCAGCAGAAATCAAGGGTTAATTGACTGAATAAGAAAAAAAATCACCACTGTTTGTAAGGAAGATGGCAGTTCCACCACTGATCCAGAAGCTATAAAGAGTACCTTTATATAATTTTTCATGGAACTTATTGATAGCAATCCTCATTGCTACCCAGGTTAAGACTTTCTTGCTCAACTTATTTCAAAAACAGTGCCTGTTGACTTCCTAGACAGTTTGTGTTCTATTCAACTGATCTTGAGAGTATGAACAGCCTTTTTTCAATCGAAGCTAAGAAGTCCCAGGACTTGATGGGTTTAATTCCTATTTCTTTAAAAAATCATGGTCCATTGTAGGTGATGAAGTGAGCCTTGCCATTAAACAATTTTTTCAGACAAGCAAGCTACTAAAGCAAGTGAACGCTACTTATTTGGCCCTAATTCCAAAGATCCCAACCCTTCATCACCTACTCATTATAGACATATTTCTAGTTGTAGTGTTCTGTACAAGTTTATTTCAAAGCATTTAGCTACCCATCCTACCTACATTGATTGACAAGACTCAAAATGCCTTTGTCAAGGGTGGAAATATTGGGGATAATATCACCTTAGAACGAGAATTGTTGAGAGGGTATCATAGGGATTTGTACTCACCTACACTCAAGGTTGATTTACAGAAATCCTATGATAGCCTTCATTGGCAGTACTGGATTGATCTCCTTGAACTCATGAACTTCCCTCCTGTCTTTATTTCATGGGTCACAACTTGTATTTCCACTGCTTCATTTTCAGTTTCAGTCAATGGTGAGCTTTGTGAGTCTTTAATAATATCAAGGGGTTGAGACAGGGGGATCCTATATCCCCCTACCTTTTTGTGATTGTTAGAGATACGCTTTCATCTATCACCATCCAATTGACAGCTTCTGACCCTTTTTTCACCTACCATTGGAGATGTAAAGCCTTGTGCATATCCCACCTTCCATTTGCTAATGATGTTCTTATGTTATGTCATGGTGACATTAGTTCAGCTAGAACCCTCAGAAAAGGCCTTGATACATTCTCCAAACTTTCAGGTCTCCTTCCAAATCCTAACAAGAGTCAGCTATTTTTGGTGGAGTACCTGTAACCACTAAAAATGCTATATGTAATATGTTTCAGTCCTTTTTTGGCACATTACCATTTAGATATCTTGGCATTCCCCTCATCTCTACTCAATTGACAGCTGCAGCTTGCCAATCACTTATTGATAACATGCTGGACTGCTAGATTTCTTTCGTTTGCAGGAAGGTTATAGCTAATTCAATCCACCCTTTAAAGTATGCACATATTTTGGACTAACCTCTTAATCCTTCCTGCCAAAGTATACACAGATAAATCAGATCCTTCAAAAATTCTTGTGGGCTGGGCCCTCTATGGCAAAATTCAGAGCTAATGTAACATGGGATCTGGTCTGCAAACCTAGGGGGACTGGGGTATGCCTGACATCATACTCTGGACACATATGGAGTCTCTGTTGTTATGAGGACTCAAACAACATTTGGAAAGAATGGACTTTCAAATATCTAGTCAAGCACATAAGTATTTGGGAGCTTAATATCCCAAATGATTGCTCATGGTTTTGGAGAAAGCTTATGCAAAATAGACATCTTGCTCATCCCTTTGTCAAACACAGAGTGAACAATAGAGTTTCAACAATGGTGCTCTTTGAGGACTGGCTGCCATGTGGACAACTCTATCTGGTATCTGACTCTTAACCACAGACATCATCACTTATTTCCATCAACCAGTGGTGTTGGCTTAGACATCTCCATAACTTGGTTTCATCCTACTGTGACATTAATAACCTACCACTACCAACCCTAAACTCTGATGACCTGATTGAATGGACCCCCTACTCCCAAAAAATCTCTCCCCGTCAAGCATACACTTAAAATCCATATCACACAACCAACTGCTTTGCTTTACACCATCAATCCCTAAACACTCTTTTTGCTTGTGGTTAGTAACTCAAGATAAATTGGTCACCTTAGACAAGCCAACCATGGACTACAATGCCCTGTTCATTTGGCATAAATTACAAGATTGATGTGGCTTCTACACTAACCCAAAGTCATGGAATGACTTCCTAATTTGGGTATCATCAAAGTAGAAGCAAAAATTGAAATTTATCAGAGTTCTGACAAGGAAGCTTACCCTGGCGAGATTTGTTTACCATGTGTGGAGAGAGAAACAATAGGATTTTCCACAAGAAGTTCGATTTCTTCTTTTCTTTAATGATGCAGATGCCCCTTCGCTGAGACTATTGCGGCAGATTGGAACCTACCCAGCTCCTTTTTTAACCATCTCATTCAAACCCCTTCTTTGAGTTCCATAGCCTCCGCCATTGGTGCTCTCTGTGCTTCTTTAATGTCGCCCCACTCAGGTTTAACGATTAGTCGGTCGAATGGAAGGACGACTCTAATTGGGCTTACCTTATTTTGGATCTCCTTGTGGATCTCTCTTGCCCATTGGGCCTGGTAGGCCATTTTTGTGTTGGACTTGGGCCATATCTCAAGTATATTTATATATTGTTTTTCTTTTTTTATTTATTCAAGCTTATTTACCAAAAAAATAAAATAATAAATTGTTGAAGCTAAAACTGAAATGACTATATATATAAAGAAAGAGTGAGAAAAAACCTCATTGAGCCAAGAATACATTTTTTATTATTTTATTTTTATTTTTATTTTTTATATTAAGATTTGTGGGGCTTCTCGGGTTTCTAGAATTTACGAGAATTCGAGTCAACAATACTTAACTGGGATTGAATATCAAAGTTGTAATTAATTGAAGGGTTAATTACATTCACATCTCCTGAGGTTTGTCCTATTGACAGTCATACGAAAATTAGTCTATTTTGGAACAATAACACCCCTTTAAGTTTGGTAAAGTTAACAATGATACCCCAACCATCTCTGGCATAAGGTAAATTGACTTTATTACCCTTTGACTTGTGGATTGACCAATTTCTATAATGAAAGTACCATTTTAACCTTATTTTAAAAATTATTTTAATGGCCAAAACTAACCCAATATGCACACTCTGTCTTCTTAAATACACACATACGGCGGCCACCACCATCAACCCCACCATCACCCACAAGCAAACGGATAAACTCCTCGTATACTAGGAAAGGTTAATGGGAAAGTTGGGTTGAATTACGTAGTAGTTTTTTTATTGCGAGACTTTACGTAGTAGTTTTTTTATTGCGAGACTACAGATGATGATATCTCTTACTCAATGAGTAAGTTTTCAATAACAAGTCATACCAATTTCTAATCCAACCCACCCCCTCTTTCTTTCTCTATACACCTACTTTCACTCACTAAGATACAACCCTTTTGGGTTGGAATCACTTAACCCAAATCCGTACACTTTAGAAAAATCAGTAACAGAAACATAAACACATATTACATGCAAACACACATATTACATATAAACACACACAGAGCTCAGTTTAGGTAATTTTCTGTGATGATGAATTTCAACTGATTCAAGAAATTGGTGAAATTTTATGAATTCTAATTTTTTTTTTTTTTTTTTTTGTTTTCTCTCTCTTTCCATTGTGGGTTTAGCCTAATGTTGAATTTTTATACTTTAGTTGCAGAAGTCCAATTGATATGTGTGTTAACAAACCCATTTGGAGAATAACAGGAACCTGTATTATGTCTAAAGGAAATTACTTTGGTGGATCTCTCGTTTTAATTGGTCCATCATGAGCATAGACATGGACAAGGGCATGAACTTCTCTTGTAATCCTTCCGGTCGAATTGAATTGGTCGCATATGCCTTCCTGTTTAGTGAATCTCTAGTGGCGTAATTAATCCAATCTCTCAATTGGTTGGTCGAATGTGCCAACCTCTCTAGCTTTCTACATTTGCTTATTCATCATATTTTAATCGGAGCTCCATCAAGAAGAGGTCGATGGAGAAGCTAGTTATCGCCGCATCTGTTGATGGCCGGAGCAAGTTGTTGGAGCACTCGCTTTAAGCTTCAAAATCGTTCGTAGTAGTGGCAATTTACTGGAATTTAAGGAGGTGATTCCGGTAACAGATAGGGCAATTAAGGTTCTGGATAGGCCAAGTTTGGGTATCGCCCTATTTTAGCATAGTCGTGGTCGTGGTAGGGATTGGTGGCCATCGTTGTTGGGGGCGATGGTGTTCGTACGTTGAGATGAAAGGGAGAACACATAGCAGAGGGGAGGAGAGAGAATATTTAATTATATTAATGGGTATTTTGGTCATTTCATCATTCTGATATTTTTTTTTAATTAAAATTAAATAAAATAATGTAGGGCGATCTCGACTTTTCACATCATTTTAGGGGCTGTTTGGATCTCATTTCTTACATGGGGTGTCTATAATACCCCCGGATTTCCGGATGCGGGTTGGCCAGGCCCATACCCGACTACCCGAGGATATCAAACAAATTAGTAATAAATGAACACAGAATACAATTAAGATAATAAGAATAAATAAAATTTGCTAAAAAGAATCTAGAATGATAATCCAAAACTAAAAACCTCAGAATAAAATTTTATAAATAAAGTATTAATCTGATACATCCAACTTTTCCAATTCTACTACAACTCTGGAATCCATCTGGTGGTTCCTGCATGGTGTCAAGATGGTATGGAGTCGGCTCCATGCATATAAGAGCCTGCTTTAAGTTTCAAGAGCAGACTCTCTCCTATTTTGACGTATTTTAGTGTTTTCTGATTTTCTGGGCACCGTTTGGATGATTTTAATTCTTCCGAATTGTGTTGTGAGGGCACTTGGGGTTCTTAACTTAAACTTCAAGTGTATTTAAACCTCTTAATGCATAGTTTATACATTTACGCTAAAGTGTTAAACAGTAGGAAAGTAGACAACTTTTCAATACTGTTAACGGTTGGAGGAAAGTTAAATTGCGTAGTTTAATTCAGTGATTGAACGGATTATAAAACCAGTCATGGGGATGATTTTGGGTGTAAATAGGATTCTTAAACTCAATATTAAAGATGAACCGAAGGTTGGGAATAGCCGGAGACGAAGCTGAAAGGCGAAACGGAGCAAAACTGGATAGAGGAGGCTCTAAGCCTTTAAGAGCAGGCTCTAAGTTTCAAGAGCAGGCTCTAAGTTTTTATGGAGCAGGCTCTAAGTTTCTAGAGCAGGCTCTAGAAACATGAGGACGGAATTCCTTTTTTTAGGGGGGAAGAATGTAATACCCCTAATTTAAAAGGGATAAAAATTGGAATTTAAATGTTATTTTATGTGCATTTTTATTTTATTTTATTTATTTATTTTGTGGCTAAGTGTTTATGTGTCAAATTATTTATTTGTGTTTATTATTTGATTTATTTAAATTATTTGCATTAATTGAATTAATTGCATTATAATGATTTAATTGAAATTGTTTGTTTGCATTTATTGACTTATTGGAATTCTTATGTGAATTAAACTAAGTGAGTTTTTAAATATATTAAGTTATTTTTACTTACAAGTTTTGGGACGTCATCTGGTGTAGCTGACATAGAATTTAATCGTAGGTTTTATGATGGGCCGACTAGGATTAAGTTTAGGGCTCTGTCTCTATTATGACAAGGATTAGGTTTTTGGTATTAAGCCTATAAATATACCATTATGCTTTAAGCTTAGGGTTTAATTGAACGTTAATTGGAAATTATATGTTTAGTACATGTTATATCAATGATCTGTAGGTGTTGATATCAATTCTGTAAAACAAAATTTATGCATGCTTTCGTTTCAGTATTCTGTTATTAAAGTATGTTAAGTTAGTTGCAATTTTAGCCTCTGTAATTGTTTCCAACTACTGTAGATAGGCCATTGGAATGATACTAGGTATTTATAAGACTAGTAAGTTCAGTATTTAAGAGAAATAGAGGAACTGGAATGACCGGAGGTGGAGCAGATAGGCTGAAACGGAGCAGAACGGGGACGGAGGCTCTCAAAGGAGGTGAGAGCCGGCTCCATGGATGTGGGAGCCGGCTCCCACACTTAAAGAGCCGGATCTAAGACCTATAGAGCCGGCTCCAGGCTCAAAAGAGCCTTCTCTTTAAAACTTAGAGCAGGCTCTCTTCAATAGTAAATGTTCTGTAAACTTTTCTACGAACTGTTTGTTACTTTAGAGCATAGGAATGTTTCTATTGATTCTGGGGTTTCACAGAAGGATTAGAAGGTTGATTTTGGGTGTTATTAAGACCTTGAATTAATTAAATTTGATAAGGCTCCTAAGCTCAGTAGAATTGTTGTTGAAAAATAGTTTTAGTTTTGTTCTTAACACATGTTAATTCGGTAACGAATTTAATTTCTGTAGTTGATTTTAATTGTTATTTTCAAATCATTGGGATGCTCTTTGGTATTAATAAGACCTTTAGGATCAGTTTTTGAAATCAATTGAATGGTAGAAAAAGGCCGGAGAAGAAGCAGAACGGTCGGAAACGGAGAAGTAACTGAACTGAGGCTCATAGGGGAAGAGAGACGGCTCCATGGAGGGAGGAGCCGCCTCCCCCATGGGTAGAGCCTGTTCTAGAGGAAGTAGAACAGGCTCTACCTTTAAAAGAGGTTGCTCTACCTCTAAAAGAGCCTACTCTTTTAGGATTAGAACAGGCTCCCTTCATTTTGTACATTCAGTTAATGTTTTTACGAACTTTTTGCTACTGTTTGGGCACTTGGGGTTCTTGAAAAAATTCTAGAACTTTAATAGGGGTTTAAATAATTAATTTAACATGTAATTAAGATCTTAAATTGCATAAACTACCCTCGTTGTAATGATGGAATTAACAGTACGCTAATTAACAATTTTACGTACGGTTAACGACTGGAAGGAAATAAATTGTTTAATTTTAATTTGACAATTTAAGGTGTTATATATGTTTCTAAATTAAATTTTAGATGCGTGAGGTAGTCTTTTAATTAATAAATTGGACTCGTAGCATAGTTTGTGGCTGGGTGCTTAAACAACAAAACAATATACAAGTATGCAACCTAGCTTGCTATTGACGGATAAAAGGAACTGAATTAATAGAATTAATTTTTAGCAAATTCTTGGATAATATTATGATTTTAAATCTTATTTGAATGCATGATAGAATAGTTGATTTATTAAAACTAATTTATTCATGCTTTGGATGCTTGTTGATGAACCGTTAAATAATACATGGTTTAACTCTTGGATTTAAATTGCTGAAATAATAAATATTCTTCTGCAATTGTTTGGAATGGTTTCGGATTGTAAATTACTAACATGTATTTATATGTTGTAATTTACATGGTTTTGGATTTTAAATTGCTGAAACTTAAAACACTTTTCTGCAAGGATATGAATATTTGGTTTTAGACTGTAAATTACGTGCTTAGTACTTATATGTTGTAATTTATATAGATATGGAGGATTGTATGCACTGGTATGGG